TTTATTTAACCACTCGTAGGTGGTTGATTTTGTACACTTTGCGCGTTGGCGTTGTCGATAGCGACAACACAACCTATATAATTATCGCTTTTTCGTCTTGTCACTAGCGAAACGCGCCAAACGGCGCCTTGTCGCACTGTCGTCCTGTCGCTAGCGAAACACTCCAAACGGCGCGTTGTCGTGCGGCGCTTTGTCGTGATGTCGCCCTCTCGCTTGGTTTATAAGTCAATCCTTCGATTTGAGCCGAGCGACAATGTGACATCGCGACAACACGCCTCACGACAACGCGCCGTTTTGCATGCATCATTAGCGACAAGACGAAAGTGCGACAAATCCTCGTTTCGTTTAGCGCTTTGTCGTGCTGTTGCTAGAGTCAACACGACGCACTAAAGAGTTCCAAATCAGCCACCATAATTCTGGGCAAAGAATATCCAAATAGATATAGCCGCAAACACATTTGGTTTTTAGATAATTTTTGTTTTATCATTAGTTTTTTCGCGAATTTGTCTGGGAATCGTGTTATTCTCTAAAACCAGTTTCTTATCTTTCAAATATTAACAGGGCAAAAGTCAAAAAAAAGTGGAACAAATCAAAAACATTTAAAAATTGGTTTAGGAGTGAGTGGTGGTGTAATAGGCTTATTTGCATGTGCATGTATTGTTGTACTTTTATACAGAAAGAGAAAGTGTTGTTTTAAGAATTTAAACACAAACAGACAAGTGGAATCTAATGAACAAAATCTGTCTAACAGTGAGACAGAACTAGCTTCAGGGATACAATACTAATATACAAATAACTGAATATACAAATAAAGGAGTAACTTGTAGCACATAGACCAATCACAAAAACAAATGAGCAAAAGATTATTAAATGATACAAGAAGAAAATGCTCACTTGGGGCTGAATAAGAACTACATTAAAAATTGTATTTATCTAAGAAATAGCTAATCGTTCTTAAGTATCATTTCGGTTTTGAGTTTCAACGTTTATTTTTATTTCATTTTTTTTTAAATATAAGAATCTCATATTAACCCTCTGTGATATACGTTTGAACTTTAGTCTTTGTTGTACCGTTTTATTCAATGAGATAGCGTTGGCAGTCAATTGTGTATTCATTATATTCAATAGAGGATAGTGAATGTTTCTTTTCTATAAATGCAGGATTTGTTTTCATAGACTGGTTTAAAATATGATGATTGTCATATCACAAGATGAAAATAAATCCTTTCTTTCCAGAAAAAAAGTCCTATACATTGTATTTATTTAGAAAACATGAACTTTCTGCTATTTATATACTTGTTTTCTTTTTTTTTTACTGTGCAATTTCGCAAGACTCCGTACTAGCTGAATTAAGTCAGGACACAAGTAAATTACGGAAAATATATCTCACTGCAGTGAAAAAATATCTTTTTGCAGTGAAAATACGAAAAGTGAAAATACGCATTTTATTTCATCAATATTTCTCAATATTTAATATATATGTACATATATAATACATAACGTTTATTTAACTATAAGATCATTTAATTCGTTTATTGTTTCTTGAATAACATCTAACTATGACGAAACATTTTGGAATAAATGTACATTTAATTATATATTATGTATTAAGATGGTTATTGAACAATTGGATTAAACTTTGTATCTTTTACGCATGATGTGGTGAACAAAAATTTGAAGTATCTATCATATTGATGTTATTATTAAAATGCACACATAATATATATACAATGTGTTGTTAAATATGTTTTTGCTTTATATTTTTTATCATCTTTCATACAAACTTTGTAAAGTTCATTTGGGGCTTTGGATTTTGTTTTAAATTCTAATATTCTGTTCATGTATATCTTTAAATACTATTTGCTCTGTTCCTGTTTGATGTATACGGGGTATGTAAAAGACCTGGTGTTATTTCAAAAATAGATATTACTTCAAATAAGATATAAATCTCGAATTCAGACTCTGCTATGCTAGACGCATCAACAGCGAATTTAATATTAATTGTCGGGCTTATTTTTTAACTTAAAGTTTGAAAACGATTTCAGTTTCTCCCCTATACACTACGCATAAACCATTTACACCACCACTTACGTTTTCAACTACAAAAAAGAAAACCAAGTATAAACCAAAACCCACTGATGTGTATGTGTGTGATTTAACCAGCAACGAAAGACTTTTAAAGATTGTTGGATCTATAGTCGGGACATTCTCTACAGCGGCACTTGTTATGGCGATAATTCTTGTCCTTTACGTTCGAAGGTAATCTTTAAAATGTATTATTTCAAAAAATCAGATTGAGCTCTTGATACATAAAAAGGTAAGTATACAATACTTAATTTTACTGTACATAGCTGTCAAATCTATATTGTACGAGGCCTATTATTCTGATAAAGGTTATGCAGCTGTGTACAAATCCAATATAATCAATATTGTACTCAGCAATGTATAATTGCCTCTTTTTTCACACCACCATTCTTATCATTTGGAGAGAACTTTGAGTACAATATGTATTTGATATGACTCGTTGCCTTGAAAATGACAACGAGACTAGATTGAATACAATAGTGATTTGATATGGATTTTTGAACTTGAAAATGTAAACGAGACTAAACGGAGTAAGTAATGTTATGATGTTGATATTTGGACTTGATAAATGAAAATACGCTAAATTGAGTACAATAGTACTTTGGTATGGATTTTTTGGATTGAGAAAAATTAGAAACGAACCTAAATTTATAACGGTGGGTCCAATAATGATTTAAATTTGGATATCACAGGGTGCAAACGCTGGAAGTTTATTGGTAAAACATTTATTATAAAATATGAAATAAAATAATCTGTTCATTTTAGAGATTTGTGAATTCAAATTAGAAGAAATATTAACGGCCTTTTCTGTTACTTGTATTCAAATAATGCATTTTTAATTATAATTATAATATAATAATATAATAATTATAATATGTAATGGAAGAAAAATAAGAAAAAGCTAATATTGCAATTTTATATATTTCAGTGCTAATATACATTCAAACATGAAGGCCTATATGTACATTATATAATTTTTATTTTTAGGAAATTACGAACTGGTAAAGATAAGCAATCCAGTCAAATACACAAAACGGCTGCAGTAAAGCATCTCAAGGCCTGGCGTTTCAGAAGAACCTTTGTTAATGATTGTCAAAGGACATAACTTTAAGAATGTCAAATATTATATACTCATATTCAATATTTAGCTCATGATTATGATGTTATATCGACGCAATTAATTGCCGTGTTAGTTCTCTCGAAATCGTGAAAATTACCTACTCATTATTGGTTTTCCAGCGGTTAAAAGTAGAAAACGCATCGCTTTCAAAACCGATGATTGGCTGTTTGAAAAATCACGAGAATGTTACAACTTTTTGGTGATCGTCAGATCCTTGTGTGTAGAGTTATTTAGGAGCTTATTTTAATCAGATTGCAGTTCATATCACATCATATAAAAGTCAATATTTGTTTTATAATGAACTCATCGAATAACGTAGTGAAGTAAGCAGGATTTCTGAGGGTGTCTGCCATGAAAACAATTATCTGAGATGTTATAGGCCTAAATGAAAATATTTGTTTTTAATACGGTGCAAACTGATGTCTCTCCGGGTTTTGGTGTTGTTGTTTTTCCCCGTAAATAACTGTCAAAAGAACTTACCGGAAACACTTCGATTTGAATTCCGCTGCAATGTATTTTTTTTATAATATTAATTTACATTTTATATTTAAGTTAAGTCATACTTTTTGTACCTACATACTTTGTAAAAACATATTTTATAATCATTTTAATTTTCTATGATTTTCAAACATTATGGTCCATTTTATCATCATCACATCATCATTATTATTATTATTATTATTATTATTATTATTATTATATTTTAAGATTTTGACTTGTTATTGATTAATTTAGAAATGCCTCTATTCGTTTCAGTACCAGACCTTGAAATGACTGTGTAAAAAACCTATATATTGACAGGAAATTTAAAACTAAATAAAAATAAGTACATTAATTTTCCTTTATACTCTTGAATTTCCTTTTCTGAGATTTTTTCTTTATGTTCTTACAATTCAGAATTATTCACATTATAAGTTTAGTATCATAATCTATCTTATAAACTAACCAGAAATTTACCAAATTCAACCACCAAATGATTAGTTCATTTACATTTAATGTTATTGTATTATTGTTATACAGTAATGTTGTTCATTTATTTATTTATGTACAATATGTGAATAAAATATTTTCAAACTAAAGGCATCTAATATTGTTGTGTTTAGTTGTTATTAACATAACAGGTTTGTTTACGACTACCCATTGCAAGGCAGCTTACCGCCGTGTACCCTTAACCACTCTTCTAGAAATCTTCAATGGATTCGTCCATTTTCAAATCTGGATAAAACCATTGATAATACTATGGCGAAAATTTCTAATAATAATAATAATAATAATAAAAATAATAAGATGTACATCATGAACAGTCAGTTTATCATGGTCTGCACTTGTCGCATAGGTAGATGCTCTTGCCGCCCACTTACAGGCAAAGGAGTTAAATAATGCTTTTTTTAGATGCACTGGTAAAAATGCACCACATGTTTGTTGTATGTTTGGTACACTATATGTTTTCCATATGTAAAACATGTGTGTCACATACGTGTAACAAGTGGTGCATTTTTACCTGTGTACCAATCGTTGGCATAGAATCATAATAACAGTCAAACTATTGAAATATACAGCTCAACTTTACAATGTAAACATGAGCATCATGTCACTACTTAGAAGGTAATATAATTATGAAGATAATGCACTGTACAAATAACAAAACATAAATACTTATATTTCAATTTTGAATACGGCTTTCTTAAATTGTCTTTTGCCTAACAATTGTCACGTGATCCATGGTTTCGTTAACAGAGTGTATCGATTTGAAGAAAAAATAGTAAAAGACGTATTATGGTTGTTTTCAAATCAGTTTTTAGATATGTGAAGTTAGCGACCTAGCGGTCTGGTGGCGTGAAGTTGGCGGCCAGTGGCGTGAAGTTGGCGGCCTTGTGGTCCAGCGGCCTGGCGCCGTGAAGTTTGCGTCCTTGCGACCTAGCGGTCTAATTTTTTAATTTTTAGTAATGTTATAAAAAGAATAAAAACGACAATTAATGATGTTCTAAGGACAATCCTTGTAATTTTAAATTATTTAAAGGCTAAATAAAAAGAAAAAAATCACTTTGAGAAAACATTTTATTTAAAAAGCCGGAAATTTTACAGCTGTATAAATGTTCTAAATATGATAAAAAGGAACATTATGAAGTTCTTAAGACTATTCTTGAAATAGAAAGGTATATAAAAGGAAAAAAAAAATGCTTTGAGAGATTTTATTATTCTATCATTTTTGTAAAGTTGGCGCCCTGGCGGCCTGGCAGCCAAGCGACCTAGCGGTCTAAAATTTTAATGTTGTAGAAATTTTATATAAACAATAAAACGGGATTTAATGAAGTTCTAAAGACAATTCTTGTTATTTAAAGGATGTATAAAAAACTTTTTATTCTTTCATTTTTGTGAAGTTGGCGGCCTGGCGGCCCAGCTGCCTAGAATTTTAATGTTGTAAAAGTTTGGAAAACGACTCTTACTTAAGTTTTAAAGACATATCTTATCATTTATCAGTTATATGAAAGTAAAAAAAAATCACATTTTGAAAGTTTTTTTCTCTTGCGACCTGGCAGCCGGAAATTTTACAGTTGTAGAAATGTTATATAAACAATTAAACGGGGCTTAATGGAGTTCTGAAGACAATTCTTGTTATTTAAAGAATATATAAAAAGAAAAAAAATACTTTGAGAAATCTTTTTTATTTTATCATTTTTGTGATGTTGGCGGCCTGGCGGCCCAGCGGCCTAGAAATTTAATGTTGTAAAAGTTTGGAAAAAAATTGAAAACGACTCTTACTTAACTTTGAAAGACATATCTTATCTTAGCGACCTGCCAGCCGGAAATTTTACAGTTGAAGAAATGTTAAGTAATATGATAAAAACAGGACTTTATGAAGTCTTGACATATAAAAGGTATATACAAAGAAAAAAATCACTTTCAGATAACTTCTTAATTTTATCATTTTTGTGAAGTTGGCGGCCTGGCGGCCAAACATTTTAATATTGTAGAAATAGATTATGCTTTTGTGATATGTTTTTATATAAATAAATTTGATTCGATTTGATTTGTTACTCATATACATGTAACTACAACTACATTGGCTAAACATAACAGCTTCTCACTACCCCTCGAAGCGTGCAGAATATTTTAAGACTTGGAATGGCGAAAAAATACCAGAACTTGAACTCGAAAAGTCGTTTTTCAATCTATTCCAAACTTTTACGACATTAAAATTTTAGGCCGCTAGGCCGCCAGGTCGCCAACTTCACAAAAATGATGAAATAAAAAAGTTTCCTCAAAGCGTATTACGTTGGCTTAAAAGTGACATTTGGTTTTGTATTTGATACTATTTTTTTTTTCGTACATATTTTTTTTTTAGTTTTGCATACATATTTTATTTTAGTTTTGCATACATATATTTTTTTTACTATTTTATGGATAACCGTTAGTTACCCGCACTCACTGTCTGTTTATACCATGCTCGTTGATTGTCTCATTTTTTGTGGGTTTAACTTATTTTGACGACAGGGAAAGAGAAAACGATAGAAAAGACATTCAAAGTTTCGTAAATTGTTTGTTTTTTTCCTTGGGTTTAATATGGTGACGGCAATGAACATGTCTTTTACTGTTGCTTACTAATATAGTATAGTTGCTTATTAATATATGCCTTTAAGGGAACAGACGGAAACTTCCGTATCCTTTTATTTTTTTTACAGTTAAATTTGTGTCCCGCATATTGGGGATTTCAAAAGAAATCAACGCTTACGAAGATTACAACAGCGTTTTATCGTTTACCATAACTCGAATTCTAATGATGAAACCGTGACAATTTATACACAAACAATATCATACAATATTAGGTTTAAAATATGTAAATTTTTTAAATTATTAAAATCTTATAATAAAATTGTCAATAAATAATTATAATAATGGTGAAAAACGAAAGAAATATGTTGTCATAATATCCTTTCTACAACTCAAGGGAGGTAATAGCCAGAAGATTTGTTGACAGTAACTGTTGTTTTATTGCTGAAAAGCTACGTACTGAAACATAGCGTACCATATGGTGGCTGATTTGTGCCATTCGTGTTTTCGTCCTGCGACCCCGCCAAGCGAAAAGTCGATACTTAACATGTTACAAGAGCCACCGCCGGGCGAGGGCAACGCTCGACTTTTTACTTTCTCTAAAAGCAAACAAAGAAATGTTTGAACAAAATATTAACGTTTTCTTTTTTATAAAATTAATCATTCTGTTTTGTCACATTAGTTTTGTCTATATATTATATATATATATATAAATTTACTAATTTATATATCTATAAATAGAGACACCCAATTCGAAGTCACATGGTGGTGTCACATGGTAAAGTCTCGTTGTGGAGTCACGTGGTGGTGTCACGTGGTAGTCACGTGGTGGTGTCACGTGGAAGTCACACGGTGGTGTCACGTGGTGGAGTAACGTGGTGGTGTCACGTGGAAGTCACTTGGTGGAGTCACTTGGTGGAGTCACGTGGTGGTATCACGTGGTGGAGTCACGTGGTGGAGTCACGTTGTGAAGTCACGTGGTGGAGTCACGTGGTGAAGTCACGATAAACAACAAGGTCTTGTCTTTAAGTATGTTCTGTTATAATATGAAGTTGATCCCTTCAATAATAGCAAAGAAACAGCCAGTTACAGCCAAAACAAAGTCAAGGTCATTCATGAGTGAAGGTCAAGGTCTGTCGGGTTATTTTTAAGGGTTATCCTTGAAGATTATTATGTTCAAGTTTGAAGACAATCCATTCAAAAATAACAAAGTTACAGCCAATATTAGCCAAAAACATGAAAATTTCAATAATTTGACCTTCAAAGTCAATGTCATTTATGAGTGAAGGTCAAGGTCTCTTGGGTTATTTTTAAGGGTTATCCTTGAAGATTATTATGTTCAAGTTTGAAGACAATCCATTCAAAAACAACAAAGTTACAGCCAATAATAGCCAAAAACATGAAAATTTCAATAATTTGACCTTCAAAGTCAATGTCATTTATGAGTGAAGGTCAAGGTCTCTTGGGTTATTTTTAAGGGATATCCTTGAAGATTATTATGTTAAAGTTTGAAGACAATCCATTCAAAAATAACAAAGTTACAGCCAATAACAGCATGAACAAGCAAAAATTGGACATTTAACCTTGAAGGTCAAGGTCATTTATTGATGAAGGTCAAGGTTAGTGTGGTCTACTGAAAGGTCTTGTCCCAAGGGTTGTTGTGGCCAAGTATGAAGACAATACACCAAGAAATAAAAATGTTATGATCCAGGTACAAGTTTGCGGACGGAAACGGCAACGGCAACGGCAACGCCGACCCGACTAAAACAATACCTCTACTTTATTTTCAAAAAAAAATAGTCGAGCTAAAAATGGCAGGGGCGCGCAGCGAATTTAAATGAATAAAATTTCGACCCGCGGGAGCGCGGAGCGAGATTTAAGAAATAAAACGGCGGGGTCGCAGAACGAAAACACGATAATTATCGGGGCCGCGGGGCGGAGTAAAATAAATAAAACTTCGCCGCGCGCCCTCGCTAATGAGCGTGTTTTCGTCCCGCGCCCCGCCAATCAAAAGGTCGATCATTAACAAGTTAAAATGGCGGGGGGGGGCGCGGAGCGAAAACACACTTATTAGCGGGGGCGCCAATTAGCGTCTTTTCGCTCCGCGCCCACGCCGTTTTATTTATTAAATCTCGCCCCGCGCCCTCGCTAATCAGCGTGTTTTCTGTACGCGCCCCCGCCAATTTTACTTGTTAATTCTCGACTTTTTGCTTGGCGGGGT